TTTTCTATCTGTAGATTCTCTTAATCTGTTTTATCGTTTAACTTATTGCGGAAAAACCCGATTATCAAATTGCAGGTTTCTTAACATTTAACTTATTGCGGAAAAACCCGATTATCAAATTGCAGGTTTCTTGAATTTTCCGAAAGATTGAGATGGTGGTTAGGAGGTCGTCTACTTCAACTTACCTGTGGTTCAACTTACTGTTCTGGAATGGTGGTTAGGAGGTCGTCTACTTCAACTTAGCTGTGGTCCAACTTACCGTTCTGGGTGGTTAGGTCGTCTACTTCAACTTGCCTGAGGTCCAACTTACCGTTCTGGAGTTAGATTAGTATAGTCCGTGGCGCAAAGCGCCGCGCACACCTTCAATTTATATGCGGAACATCTTACTCCCAGCGGCCGCGGGAAGCAATTTCGACTACATTTTTTCACTTTACACTTTAAAAATTTCCTTCTCTGCCTATCCTATTTCCCCACACCACAAAACTCTATAAACTCCTAGCGGCCGTGGGAAGCAACTTCGACTACATTTTTTCACTTTACACTTACTTCCAAAAATTTCTTTCTCTGCTTATCCTCTTTCCCCACCCCACACAACTCTATAACCACCGTTTCTGCAGGAAAAAATGCTGGGACTAGGGGTATATGAGTGGGGCTACATAAGCTACTTTTGCCCCAAAACATAATCTTTCATTTTGATCTGGCGAAAAAGTTGACTTAAAGCAAACTACTGCCATGACTTCGCTTAACCATTTACTGCCGTAAAGTTTGTGCTCTGATCAGTTTCTAAAAAAACCGACACCAAACAGACCACGGCTCTTGGTGCTTCGCTAGTGTTGTTTTTATCAAATCTCGTGAATTTATCTCAAGTGGCTACTAAAATGCCAACTAGGGCTTATCACCAAGCAGTCATAACTTCCAGAACTGCACCTTAAATTTTCGATACTCATCGCATGACCTCCGTATAAATTTCATGCAGGCAAATAATAAAAAGAAGCGGAAGCTGGCGCAACAGGTGGCGATATCCGACAAACGTCAATGCATTCGACCTGACTTCAAGACTCATCTCGCACCAAATCAATCAAGCAGGAAAGACGTCGGCACCCGTGGACGGCGACCAAAACGCGCCAGCAGCTTTCCACCAAACTCCTCCGATGGCCGTATCCGTGGAATGGCCAAACCGCGACAAGGCGAGCAACAGCAATCACACCAGACAAATGTCTGCCGCTTTTCCGACCTCCTGCCGAAGCATCAAAAACAACAGAAACAGCGGCAGCGCCAACGCAAGATGCTTTTTCTCAAAAGGCAACGTCATCAGGCAGTCAAGTCTCTCGTTTGCTTCAAGGCTAAGCGGTCACTGAAGCGAGGAAAACTGCCTCCAGTGGCAATCTCCACCAACAACGACGGTGTTGGCTGCAACCATGCTTCCCATTCACCGGCAGACTTTGACAAAGAGTCTGGTTCTGCCAATGGTTTTAGCAGTCGCACCGGAAGTTATTTGGGACGACAAAACGAGTCAAGCCCCAATGGTCTATTCCCGCACTCGGATCTGGGGTCGGCGAATGGTTCCAGTAGTCTCGAAGCGCCGTCGCAAGGCGACACCCGTGGTACAAGCAGACCCAAACGTTCGCGGACGACTGCTGGCAAGCTGCGACAGCCAATGAACACAATCGATTTGGAGTTTTGTCGGTAATGCTCAGTGCCTTCTTCCCAAGCATTTACTACATCAACCCTTTACTGCGTAAATTTAAGCTTTTAGGCTTCGAAATCTCACTACCTCCGCATAGAAGAATAACAGGTATAGAGGGAAGCGGTATGCCTTCAAACTTACTTTTGAAAATTTGGTCTTAACGTATCAAGATAACGCACTATTTTTTTCTTTTACCTACTTGAATTCCGAATGTGAATTCGAAGCACAGTTGCAGTTACTAATGTTGACAGAATGAGGCGCCGCAAGGACAACCTTGTTTGTTCTTTCTGCTACTGACTATGACACGCTTAATTTTCTTCGTCTAACATTTTGTATGTTTTAAAATAGACGGGCCACGGAAGATCTCATTGCACACGAAGCATCCTGGCCCTTCAGAAGGCCAGTAAGTAGCAAGGGCGTTCCGCTCTATCGAAAGGTCATCAAGCGACCAATTGACCTCTCCACAATTCTCAAACGTCTCAGCGATGAAAAGGTGTAAGTCTTGAACCGAAGGCTATTACCGAACTTTTGAATTCAGATATTGTATTCTGTTTGCCTTTTATTGTCCACATTATATCTTGCTTTCCGAAACCTTGCACGAGAGCCACACACCCTGAAGTTATACGGATTCAATCGGACCTTTATAGAGCGGAATTGAGAAAACCTAATTTATTAGCATCGATCTTTCCGGCAATAGGTGACGCCTACAAAAGGTTCACTGATTTCAGTTAGCTATCGATATAAAAATATATTAGAAAAATAACGAGTAAACTTCTCTTTTCCGATAACCTTCTCCTTTCAATATATACAATAGATTGCATATCTGGTGAAAAATGAAGAGCAAAATTTGACTGTGTGATTTAACACACACTTGAGGTTGTTTATTTTGTTCACTGAGTTGACTTGAGGTGCTTAATTCTGTTTAGTAGCAAAGAGTTCTGTTAAGATCAGCCTAATGGGGGCAAAACCTGGCCAATTGGAGCCAAATCCAGTGTTTGTTTATATCCAAGGAATTTCCTATGCTATTAAATACCGCGGAAAAACTCTTTGTTGTTGCGTCTTATACTATAAAAGAACACTAATAAAAAGCGGAGACTTTTTAATTATACATGTTCAGAGAAAGGAAAATTTTGCTTAGCTTTCATGTTCTAGTTAAGTACAATTATGAGATAGCGCATTATTTTGGGGAAAGAAGAACAAAATAATTAAAAAAATGCTATTTTGCAAATCCGCCACGTTTGTGCCATAAAATTGAGTATTTAACTTATAAGGCTGTTATTTGCTATACTCCTATTAAAATGTTAATTGTATATTTGAAGGGTTACAGGCAAGGAATGCCCTTGAGGACCCTATTCGTATAAAGTAACCAAATCGATTGTACTGTCAATATGAAGTTGAAGACAGTTAACATGAGACACATTTAAGTGAGTTGTCGCGGGACATTGCGAAACAGTTTTCTCAAAAATCACCCTTGGTATCCTGCCATTCTGTTCTGCTTTTGTTATTGTAGAACTGAGTTTAGAAGTAACCAAATATACTGAAAACTGTTCCGGTTAAAATAGAAAAGTTAGCTCTTTCATTTATTACAGAAGGCATATCCCTTATTTTTAGGGAAATCAAAAAACTGGCCAAAATTTCCCATTCTGATCTTGACT